CCCCAGTGTCTGATCCTGTCCAGCCCCCAATTCTCATCCTCACCACCTCCTCTACTCCTTCAGTGCTGAGACCTTCGATGTTGCAGCTAGAGGCTTACCACATCCCTGATTTTTGTCTCTTTTCCTACCCCTTTCTGTTCCTTCCCAAATCCACTCTCATTTTGCCACTGCACAGTCAACATATCTGGGCTCAGACCTCAGTCGTGGACAATGTGCCCTAATAGGAGGTGTCACACCCAGGCAGAAGCTTAGACAAAAGGGAACAGGCAGGGCCTGGCAGGAGGGTGGTCAGTCAGGCCCAGGCTGGGCCCCACGAGTACATACACAGTGTGTGCAGGGTAGGCCCCCTGCCAGTGGTGGGCTGCATACCAGGAAAGAGATCAAATTGAGAGGGTCAGGAAGAGGCAAGACTAACACTAAGAGCAGCCTGGGATCTTTAGGAAGTTGGAGGCCAGGTAGGTGTCAGGCAGTGCCTGGCTAAGAGAGGTGATCCTGGCCAGGACAGGGTCCAAGAACTGTGACTTTTAAGCCTGGGCTTCCTCAGCAGGCAGCGATCCCCACCTGGGGATTATGCCTGGAGCTGAACAGGGGCTCTTTCTCCTCACTGCTGACACTGTTCTGGGTAGGGCCACTGCCCCCAGGTCCCATCCATCCGGAGCCCACAGCCTGAGTTCAGCAGGTTTGCATCCAGAGCCAGGAGGAAGGCCACCTCAGAGGGGCTGGGCTCGTGGGGAGGGTGCCCTAGAGGTGGAAGATTTCCTGCGAAGGGGAAGGCCAATCCAGAGAAGCAGGCCCAGCTTGGGAAGGAGGGAATAGAAAACAAGACTAAAGAGAAAAAAGGGGCCACTGAAAGTTCTGGAGCAGGACACCACCACAAAGTTTTGGTTTTGGTTTGCGTTTTGTTTCTTTGCAGTACTGGGGGTTGAACCCAGGGGCACTCTACCACTGAGTACCATCCTGGCCCTTTCTATTGTTTGTTAAGTTGTCCAGTGCTAGTCCAGGCTGGCCTAGAACTTTTGATCCTCCTGTCTCGACCTCCCAAGTAGCACATGAGAAGTTTCAGGAATATGACTTTAGTGGAGGGGAACCAGTTAGTGCATCCAAGAGGCAGGAAGACTGGCCTTATTGGGGTGGCAGCAGTGGGGATAGGAAGGAAGGGAGGGGCTGGGGAAGGAAGGAAGGAAGAGATATAAGACTATGTGCATCAAAAAAGAAACAGTAACAGGACCTAGTGATATGGGCCTTAGCCAGCCATGGACAAGCCCTGGAACTCAGGCCTGGGATGTCCAAGCTGCTCACTGGACTTGTTCCTGGCCAGAAACAGATACCAGGGCATACACCCCTGACCCGGCTCCATAGGAAGATGGCATTTACTATCTGCATGTGTCGTGCTAAAGGCTTTACATAAAGTATTTCATCTAAACTTCACCAGAACTCAATGAGTTGGCAAGATGGGGAAACTGAGGCATGAAAAATGTAAGGAGTCAGAATTTGAATGCAGGTCTGAGTGCACAGCTGCCTTTACTGAGCTGCTCCCTGAGAGGGCAATCCCTTATAAGACAAGTAACTATCAGTGAGACAAGTAGTCAAAGGAGTCGTCTGCAGGTCCCCAGAGCAGCAGCCAAGCCATGAGTTGGAGAACAAGGCACTGTGAAGTGAGCACAGGCCTCACTCCATCCTCCCTCCTGCTCCTGGGGCTGCCCTGGCCCCTGCGGCTGGCCACCCCAAATGACAGGAGACTGCTGTGTATCCCACAGGCCCAGTGCACACCCATGTCACACCCTCTCCCCAGGAGTGGCTCCTCACTAGGGCCACTCCCTGGTGGCAGGAGGTCCTCAGCCCTTCTACTCATCCCTCAGGCCTCCTGTGAGACCTTCTGTGTGGGGGAGGATGCCAAGGCAGCAGCCCAGGATATATTCAGCCCCAAGCGCAGCTGGAAGCGTCAGCGGTACCGGCTGAGTGCCCAGGCTGAGGGCCTGCAGCTGCTGCCAGGTTCGGCCTGCATGCTGGATGTTTGCTGTCCCCAGGGTGGGGGGCTGGGGGGCAGCACTCGCTCTCCCAGGGGCTCAGGCTCAGCCTCTCATTTGCTTCCTCCCACCTTCAGGCCTGATCCATGTGCACAGGCGGAAAATGTTCCAGGCCACAGTCCTCTCAGTGGAAAACCTGCAAAGCAGCAGATCCACGTGAGGAAGATGGTTCACCCTCCCCCGCCACTGCAGCCTCCTCCTCCCAAATTCCATCCCCACCCTGCCCTTCTCTGACCCTCTATAACTGCCAACTCCCCACCTGCAGCCGGGCCACCATCCTGGTGCGCCTTGACACTGGAGGCCAGGAGGGGCTGCAGTACCAGCCTGGGGACCATATAGGTGTGTGCCCACCCAACCGGCCTGGCCTCGTAGAGGCGCTATTGAGCCGCGTGGAGGACCCGCCACCACCCAGCGAGCCTGTGGCAGTGGAGCAGCTGGAGAAGGGCAGCCCTGGTAAGGGCTCCATCTGGGCAAGAAACTGAGAGCCTGCTCCACTCCCCTGGCCCAGTAGCCCCTTGAGGTCCGCCCTGCAGGGCTGCCATCTCCCTTCACTGCTTGGCACTAGCTTGAAGCTAGGTGTGCCATCCCTGCCAGGCTGGCCTTGTTGCTGCATGGTCCACACAAAGCATGGTTCTGGTCTCAGAACCTGCCCACCAACGTGTCCCCAAAAGACTTTCCCCTGCTCTGGACTCCTCCTAGAGCCTCCCCCAAGCTCCATAGCTAGTGTATCTTCTACCAAATCAGCGACTAGAGCTAAGATAAATCTTAACTGGGGTTAGGGGTATGGAAGCCCAGACAAATACACTGAGGGTGCCCAGACAGGCCCAGATAAGCCCACTCTACTGTTCGAGTGCAGATTTCCAAATAAAACACAGTGAGTTAATCCCCCCAAAGCTAACTTGAGCCCAGATAGTGCAGTGTGAGCTGGGCCCCTTCCTCAGAGCTCCCTGTGCACCAACCCTAGGTGGCCCTCCCCCGAGCTGGGTGAGGGACCCCCGGCTGCCCCCGTGCACGCTGCGCCAGGCTCTCACCTACTTCCTGGACATCACTTCTCCACCCAGCCCTCGCCTCCTTCGATTGCTCAGCACTCTAGCCGAAGAGTCCAGCGAACAGCAGGAACTGGAGGCCCTTAGCCAGGTGGGGGCCAGCCCACAGGGAGCAGGGATAGAAGCATGAGCCGGGGAGACCCAGTGTCAGGAAGTCCTCATGCAAGGTTCTGCCTGGACTTTCTTCTCCTGGCCAATCTGTCCTGGTGCTTTAAGACCCAGCTTCAGTCTGACTGATGCATCTTTGGATGCCCAAGATTGTAAAAAGATGTTGGTTGGCCTGAACTGAGGGAGGAACCCAAGGAGGTTCAGCAGGGAGGGCTCAAAAAGGGAGGTCACCAAGCAGGGCTATGGGGCACCCAGTCCACCACATGCCACTCTGCCAGGACCCCCGGCGCTATGAGGAGTGGAAGTGGTTCCGCTGTCCCACACTGCTGGAGGTCTTGGAGCAGTTCCCATCAGTGGCACTGCCTGCGCCCCTGCTCCTCACTCAGCTGCCCCTGCTCCAGCCTCGGTACTACTCCGTCAGCTCAGCACCCAGCACCCACCCAGGAGAGATCCACCTCACCGTAGCTGTGTTGGCATACAGGACCCAGGGTAAGGACAGGAGCAGGAACAGGTCCCTCAGTGGAACCAGAACTGGCCCCTTACTGGCCTCTCTTTCCCACCCACTAGATGGGCTGGGCCCCTTACATTATGGAGTCTGCTCCACATGGCTGAGCCAACTCAAGGCTGGAGACCTCGTGCCCTGCTTCATCAGAGGGTAAGTGAAACCTACAGGATGGGGAGGGGCATCAAGTAAAGAGAATGTCCAGTCAGGGATAGAGAAAGTGCCACATGATTGGCTGGGGACAGATGGGGAATCAGTGGGGGAGGTCACGGAGGGCCAGGTGGTAACTCTGATGAGGAATGTGACTGCATAACAGACCAAGAACAGGGTATCGTCAGGCCACTTGAGAATGGTGGCTAAGTTTTGGACTTCACTAATTTGGACTCAGAGTCCTGCCTTAAAACTACAATTTCCAGAGACACAGCAGGCTTCCACAGGCCTCTGTCCTTGGGCACAATCTGTGTTGGAAGATATGGCACATGGGACTGTGGTCCCCAAGACCCCACTCAACCCAGAAAGGACTACCTAGGGTAAAGACCACCCTCAACCATAGTGCTGAGGAATGAAAGATCTCAGGAGCCCTTTCCTCCTGCTGCGTTCCTATCTGACCCTTTCCAAAAGCTAGGAGCCAAATCTCCTTGTGACTGAGTTCTCAGCACCCAGTAGGCCCAGGGAACCAAACCCACCCAGGAATCCACTCAACTCAATATAAACCAAATTTCAACAGGATGGCTTTTAAACACTCAATGAGCTTCCCTATAATCAAAGGTCTGTTTGTCCTTCCACATATTTTCCAAAACCCCTAAGTTGAGTCATTTAAGTACCCTCTAGTCCAAACTAAACTAAATTTCCTCTAACCCAATCCCTTAGAAGCTACAGCCCCAGGGAGTTTCTGCCTGTGGGCAGAGTTTTTTAAATAAACACATCCCACTAAACTGATCCAGAGTCTACTCCAGGGACTCTACAGGTATAACTCCTTTACCATTGGACCCTGGGTTCTTCTGTCTGCACCACCCGCCTGAGGTTGGTAAGACCTGGGGCCCGGGGAGGAAGGGGGCCTGATGGAGTCTCTCTGGCCAGGGCTCCCTCTTTCCGGCTACCACCTGATCCCAGTCTGCCCTGCATCCTGGTGGGCCCAGGCACTGGCATTGCCCCCTTCAGGGGATTCTGGCAGGAGCGGCTTCATGACATTGAGAGCAAAGGTGAGGCTGGGGCTGCAGGGACTGACTGGAAGGCAGGAGGAGTCACACATTCTAGGGACAAAGGGGTGGGACTGGAAGGCAGGAAGCAGGTAGGAAAGAGTGCAAGAAACTGGGGCCAAAGGTGAAGGGAAATTTATTAGAACAAGGCTGGGGTTGGGAGGTGCCTGGCGGTGAGGGCTGGGCCTTGTTTGTCCCGCTCCCTGGTACATACTAGGTGCAGAATTGAATTAAGAAGGAAGGCAAGCTGGGTGTGGTGGCGCATGCCTGTAATCCCAGAGGCTCAAGAGGCTGGGGCAGGAGGATCACAAGTTCAAAGGCAGCCTTAGCAACAGCTAGGTGCTAAACAACTCAGTGAGACCCTGTCTCTTAAAAAAAAAAAAGGGGGGGGGCTGAGGATGTGGCTCAGTGGTTGAGTGCCCCAGTACCAAAAAAAAAAAAAGAAGAAGAAGAAGAAAGAAGGGATGGGCTGAGACCCGAAAGGCAAAAGAATGTCCCAGGTAGATTCTGGGCTGTGCCAGAGCTCACCTAGGTGTGGCTCACCTAAGGAAGTGACAGAGTGTTTAGGTTGGGCATGGGGTGTCAATCAAAAGGGGGCTGTGACTCAGAAGAAGGTTGAAGGAGTGGGAGAATGTGGGAACCTGCAATGTCACAACGCAAAGGGCAAGGAGTTTCCAGTCAGAAGACCCAGTTCTAGCCTGGCTCCACCACTGGCCAGCCACCTGAGATCGGTTTCCTTATCGGTAAAGAGACTTCAAGTCTCTATGAAAGCGTCACGTATTGCCCTAGAGGTCAAACAGCCAGGAAAGTAGTTGCTTTCGACATAAATGCTGGGCTGTCAGTCTGGGCGAAGGTGGCCAACGAATGGGGCGGTGTCGCTAGGGCTGCACCCAAATAGGGCCCCTCCCAAGCCGTGTTGCTCCTAGGACTTCAGCCCGCCCCCATGACTCTGGTATTCGGCTGCCGATGCTCCCAACTCGACCATCTCTACCGCGACGAGGTGCAAGACGCCCAGCAGCGCGGGGTGTTTGGCCGCGTCCTCACCGCCTTCTCCCGGGAACCCGACAGCCCCAAGGTGCGCGACCCCGAGGGCGCGGGGGCTGCCTGAAGCCTGGAAGAGGGAAGGGTAGTGAGTGCGCTCGGGTAGGCACGCGGGCCCAGGCCCCGCCCCCTCAACCACTCGGCCCCACCTCCGCCCCAGACCCCGCCCCGGGAGCGGAGGCCCTACCCCGCCCGCCACAGTCACGTTCCGCCCCTCACCCGCATCCCCCAGACCTACGTGCAGGACGTCCTGAGGACTGAGCTGGCTGCTGAGGTGCACCGCGTGCTGTGCCTCGAGAGGGGCCATATGTTTGTTTGCGGCGATGTCACCATGGCAACCAGCGTCCTGCAAACTGTGCAGCGAATCCTAGCGACAGAGGGCGACATGGAGCTGGACGAGGCGGGTGACGTTATCGGCGTGCTGCGGGTGCGAAGGGCCGAGGCCCGGGGCCAGGGCGGGGGCAGTGCTTGACCGGGTGAAGGGGCGGGGCCCGGGACAGGTCCCAAGCAAACCTCTAGGTTCTCGAACCCTGTTCTGATAACCTGAGCTCTTTTCCCGCAGGATCAGCAACGCTACCACGAGGACATTTTCGGGCTCACTCTTCGCACTCAAGAGGTGACAAGCCGCATACGCACCCAGAGCTTTTCCCTGCAGGAGCGACAGCTGCGGGGCGCAGTGCCCTGGGCCTTTGACCCACCAGGCTCAGACACCCTCTACCCTTGATGGCCCTCTGGTTTTCCACTCCAGTGCCCAAAGAGAGAGGCTATCACACTACTGTCGGTTAACCAGGGCCAGCCACTTCCCCACACCTCTTAAAGGTGCCTTCTAGCACCTGCTGCAAGGCTGCAGAAATCCAGCCTTATTCCTCTGGGAATAAGAAAAATTCTTCCTCTCTCTCCAGACTGGCTTCTGGCAGGAATCTGCCTAACTCTAGAAGGCCCCTGCCAGCAATGGTATTGGGGGGGGGGGGGGGTGTGCTTACTGCTTCCCTGCCTTGGTGTGCTTTAGGTGAACTGTAGATTACCCCTCAGGAAGGAGTGTCACCTTTAAAGTCTAAATCATTCAAATATTTATTATTGAAGAGTATCATGAGACTGATGTTATGAGATCATCATGCCAGATGTTATGAGATGCCTAACCCAATCCCTATGGATTACAATTATAAAAAGACAAGATTTGTTTTAACTTGTTTAGCTGTGGGGGTGGTAATTCTTTGCCAGCCAGTCCTACACACTGCAGGTGACCTAGCACTCTAAAACCATGGTTTCCAGCCAATCACAGGCAATTCTCCTGTGTTGTTCTGTTGCTCTTTATTGAGAAAGCAGATGCAGCCCTCAGCTGCCAGAAGTGGGGCATGCCAGAGACTACTGTCAAACAGCTATGAGCAATTTTTACTGCTTACTTCACACAGGATAAGAAGCCACACCTACTTCCTCAATGCTGAAGTCCAAAAGATGAGGCCTCCCTAGTTTTTCCACACACAAGGCCCCATTTTCCCCAAGTCTTATGGGAACCTAAAGGGGAGGCTCCTTTCCCCCAGAGGGAAGAACCCCCTGCCTTGCAGACCACGTTCCTCACTGTCTTCCTAACACTTAGCCTGATCTCCATCTGGGCCCCTGAACTCCATCTTGTTATCAGAGAATTTCTTCCCAGGTAACTGCTCTAAGACAGCCAGTTGGGGCACTGTCCTTTAGCCCCTTTATGTGGGGACTATTCCTTAGACTGGTTTCCCCATACCACAGGCATCGCCTCCTTTCCTACTCTTCCTGTTCTCTGGGGCCAGTTCCTTATTGACCCCCAGGTTCTGCCCAACTAAAGCATCCTGGACTGTCATCTATAGGGCTCTGTGTGTCCTTCCATGACACCCATCCACAATCTCCTGTAGCTGGAGAAGCCAGGAACCTGGGGGTGGAGAAGACTCTTGATAGAAATCGAAGGATCTAGGTCCTAGAGATGACCATCCCCTTTACTCCAAATCCCACCAGTGTTCCCGTCCCTCTACAACTGCTCCAAACCAATTTCCTCCTCCTTCCTTCCTTCCTTCCCCTCCAAAGCAGACAATACTGACCTGAAGAGTCTGTTCAGTCAGTGCTGGGGACCTGGCCAGGCTCCTTCAGGGTGTCTGTGGTCTCTTGAAACCCTCTATGGAACAAATTCCGGACCCTCTGGGTTCCCCACTGCTGTCTGGGACTGGAGGCAGGACTGGAGCCTGGTGACAAAAGCCGTCAGCTGGGCAGTGCCATGATGTTCAACATCTAGTAACATCTGCCCCTGCATCCCAGCCTCCTCACCATCACTGGACCAGGATGGCTTCTCCTCATCGGGCGAGGCTGGCTGTGAGGGACTAGACCAGGGCCTGGATGGGGAGGAGGCTGAAGCCTCGCCCCACAGTTCCTGCTGCTGCTGCTGATGAAGCTAGATGGATGAAGAAGAATGAGGGGTTCCCTCCTGCCCAAGGGCAAGGCCAAGCCCCTGGGCTAGGTACAGAGGGATAGCAGCTCTTAAGTACTTTCTCAGACTCTAGGCACCCTTCCCTCTACTCTATCACATTAATCTCCTTTCTCCCCATATTTCTCTTCCTGATACCCTTGTACTCACCTGGTGTAGGTAGATGGCATGGAGACTCATCTCAGCAGAAGCAAGCTCTGGGAGCTGGGCCACCTTCTGGCTCCCAGTGCCTCCTGGGGACACACAGCTGGAACACAGTATGCAGAGGTCAAGAGACATGTTCTTTTCCCCCAGAGGGAGGGTCGTCAGACTATAGATCCTCTTTCAAATCCCTTTGCACCCAGCTCCCTCCTTCTGCAGAATCAGCCCCAAAGAAGATTCCCCTGCGTCTCGGGTCTCCACTCTTCACCTGGGGTCCTGAGCAATGCGGGAAATGGAGGCAAGAAGGCTGGCTGTGGCGGCAGCTGGGCAGGGGGCTGTGGGGCTCAAGTCCCTTGGAGGTAGAAGCGGATTCCCCAGGAGGTTGGCCAGGAAGGCCTCTGGCTGAACAAGAGAAGAGGAAACCAAAAGGGTCAGAAGAGAGGACAGGAAGGAAGGGGGGAAAGGAAATCTGAAGAATGAAGAAGAGCAGGCTGGTTGGGCCAGCCACCAGGTTAACACAAAAGTGAAACGGGAAAAGGGGAAGGCTGGGACCAGGGGTGGGAAGGGCAGAAGGGTAGGACAGGTCTGGACTCACCAAAGGTGAGGTGCAGTTGCTGAGCACCCCTGGAGTTGGGGGGCTTCGAGTGGAGGTAGCACTCCAGGCAGCTGCATCTTGTTGTACCCGGCCCCGAAGGTGCCCAAGGAACTTAGAGCTGTTCCCTGGTGGACGCCATTGTGGGTGTGCCAGCGAGAAGCGCATCAAGGAGAGCTCAGTCTTTCCATCCTCTGCACGCTGAGACAGGGAGGCTTCTGTCTGTCCCTCCGAGAGCCACTGTGAGCAACAACAGTCCTTCAAGATGCTAGACACTGAGCCTCTGGGGAGTAGGTGGGACAGGAAATACTGCTCCATGTTCCAAGTGAAGGAAACAGAGCTGAGACAATGACTTCAGGATCATCCAGAAAAGCAGAGGAGCAGGACCTAGGTCTAGACCCAGCTCCCAAATACAGACAGTCCCAGTGCTGTAGATCCAGGCCCCAGGGAAAAGGGATGGCTGTCCTCTCTAAACTTAACCACTGGCCATCCCCCCTCTCCCAGCCTCTGTGAGGCCCTTTGCTCCCATTTACTGCCAGCAACTCTGTAAAGGGTCTACCGATGTCATCTCATTGTCATCCTTACACATCTACACTCTGCTTACTCTCCTTGCCTTCACCTGGTAACGACACGAAGCCACCAGGAAGTGAAGAGATTGCTCAAGGTCACAGGTAGCAAGCAATGGAGCTAGGTTGAAACCCAGGTCTGCTTTGGGTGAGACAAGCAAACTCCTACCCTGCATAACCCCACAGGACAGAAAAGGGCTCTCACCTGAGGGTGGCCATGGCGCTTCACATCCATAAGGGCAAATGAACAGATGTCCCCAACCCCAGCTACATCCACAGTGAAGTGATGAAAAAAGTCAATAATCTCCAATGCACGAGGGCGAAACCAGAAAAGCAGAAACAGCGGGGTGAGGAGTGGGGACAGGAGCTCCTCCAGGAGAGAGACCTGGGGAAGCAGGAGTTGCTGAGGGACTCCCCCAGTGATCAGGGTTAGGGAGCCCCCAGGGACACTCGCCAGGGCAAGAAGCCTCCAACCTAGGCATTCGGTAGGCTGGAGGTCCCTGTGTGGCCCATTGCCTCTTCCACCCAGACCACCCAGTGCCGCGTCACCTCCGCAGCCGCCTGTGATCCCGACCCTCACCGCTCGGTATTGCAGTAGCTGCGCCATCTGCCCGTAGGCACTGGCCCTGCCGCCAGCGCTGGGATCCTCTGGGAGGTAGTGCATGTGCGCCAGGGCGGCCTGCAGCTGGAGCTGCGGGGGACGCCCCTGGCACTGCTCTTCCGGAATGAAAGACCTGGAGGGCGGGGTTTGGGGTGGGGAAGGGATCTGGGGTTAGGAGAACAATGGTGGGACATAGAGATGGGGTGGGCGCTAGAGGTGGGAGAGGTTAGGGTTCGCCAGCGGAAGGGGTCTCATTCAGCCCCTGGTCAAAAAAGGATACACCACCACCACCACCACCCCGGGTATGTGCCGTCCCACCTGGCCACGGTGGCTGTCACCCCGAGCGCAGTCATGGTGGTGAGTACGTGTTCTACTGCGAGCACGTCCTCATCATAAATGGTGAGCACCAGCAGCGCTGCGAAGAGCGCGCCAGAGAAAAAGACGAGCTGGCGAGCCAAGAGCGCGCGCAGGGGCGCAGGGGGCTCCGCGGCGCGCAGGAAGGCCATTGCTGGCCTGTACGCGCGGGCCAGGCGCGCGTGCAATTCATGTGGCAGCTCGTTGAAGTGGCGCAGCTGCAGGCGCGCCAGGCGGGACCAGCGGCGCGCCCCGAACGCGCCGGGCTCGCGTCGTAGCAGCTCCACGTGACTGTAGAAGGCGTGTAGCACCTGCCAGGCCAGCACGAGAGGGCTCAGCGCCAGATTCACGGCAGCCAGCAGCAGCACTGTGCGCCCCAAGCGCGAGGCCAGGGCGCCCCGCTGGTCGCTGCGCTTGTAGGCATCAGGCAGCTCCCAGCCACCACGGAAGAGCGAAAAGGGACCACGGAAGAGAAGCAGGTCGATGTTGAAGGCCAGGCCGCGGCTGAGGAAAGCCGCACTGCCTCCCCAGGGTAGCGGGCAGCGGGCGGGCAGCAGGCCCTTGTTGGCCAACGCCACCTGGTAGTTGGTATAACGCAGGATGCGATGGTGGACGTCCAATTCCGTCAGCGGCCGAGGCTGCACGCAGAGCCCCCCGCTCCTCTGCAGCTCCAGAAGGCGGGACTGCACTTCCGCCCAGGGCACGGAGCTGAGCTCCTCCTAAGGAGAAGGGCCTGGTGAGCACTAGCCGTTCTAATTCTACTCCACAGTGATGCCCAAGCTCAGTGCACCCTCACGGGCTGCCTACAAACGGCCACAAACTCACCAGTACCAAAGCTAAGCCACTTATCCTCCATCCCCACCTTTGGATTTCTGCCTAACCCTGTGCTAACAGGGCCACTTCCTACTTAGTTCTGTCCTATTCTGAATTGCTCTGCTTCTCATCATCCCTGCCACTCATGTGGCCATTAGTCACTGCTTCCTGGTGACACCATTTAATTCCAGGTGTGGAAGCTGCCTTCTTGGCTCCTTAAGGGCAGGTTTTTCTGAGCCTCCCCTCAGAAAAGTATTAGGGGAACCTCTCCTTCCCATGTCCAGTATGCTTATCATGTTTGGGCCCCTATCCTCACTAACCTACTGCCTGGGCAGGCTTTGAGACACTCAGCCACACTCACTCTTAGCCATTTGTGCTGTCACCAAATTAGTCTTCCCATGACTCTGGCTTTGACCATGCCCTAGGGCAACTGTGCTGTCAGACCTCATCTGGAGGTCTGTAGACCTCACATTAACCCAGTTTCACCCAGCTTCCCCAGACCAGCTTAGTCAAATCTTTATGAGCCAGCCTTTCCAGCTCATCCCAGTATCTCCCCTTCCCTGGAAGGAATGGGAGAGAAGGAAAAAGAAGGGGGATTGTCAGCAGCCTCCAAGAGGATCAGAGCTCCTACTCTCCTGTCTATTCTGCTGACCTCTTGACTTTCCCCTACTCTGCACCTGAAGCCTCCCTACTCCCAAGCCTTCTAGAACGCCTCCCCTTGCAGTGCAAGAGGGCTGTGCCTACGCCAAAGGCTCTGGAATCTTGAAAGGGAACAAGGGAAGTGGGCCACAGACGGTATCTTGAACAAAGAACTCAGATTTGGAGGTAGGAGTGGGAGCAAGGAAGGACAAAACCTGACCAGGAGATGGTGACAAAGCCAACAAAGTGGCTTATTACAGTGGTGGTGATAATCACCCAATAGGCCCTTGGAGGCTCCGTTTCAAGCCAGCAGGTTGATTTCCTCATTGCCTGGAGATGCCTATTGCTTTCCCAAATCCTGAACTGGGGGTTGGAATGTCCTCCCCTCTTCCTGTCCTGACCTTTCAAGCCCAGCTCAAATTCCTCTTGCTCTAGAAAGCCAGGTGACAACCCTTCCTCTAAACACCCATTGTTTTTACCACAAGCATGTGACTATAAGTCATCTTATGTGACCCATCTAAACAAAGGAAGTTCCATGAGAGCAAGGACCATGTCTCCTAAGTGGAGGTGCTCACCACCTACATTACTCTTAGTCCAGGGCAGGTGTCACAAGGCCTTGCCCTTTCTGCTGTCTCCCCAGGTGGTGCTTCGATCCACATGGCCCTTGCTCTTTCTCCTGTGCAACCCCTAACTCCTGCCTCTCTCTTCTGCCCACACTCTCAAGGCAGACATGCTTGTGTAGCTTACCTGGGGGATGTGCATAGCCTCCCTGTAAAACACCTGGATGTCCCAGTAGCTGAAGAGGTTGCAAACTGAGCGAAGCAACTGGAACAGCCAGAAGCCAGCAGCCAGGACCAGGAGGAAGACCAGCAGGGGGCTGGCATGAATCCTGTATGGGGTTGGACAGGTAGTGGTGGAGAAACACGGGAAGCCCAGAGAGGAGACCGTCATCTGGAGCAGTGGCAAGACCAGCAGGTCTCAAAGTGGGGTCCAGGGAGGCGGATCCCCAAAGGGGCCCTTACAAGTGTCTGCAAAATCAACACTTCTTTGCAAATCACACCAATGCTTTCTGCTCTTTGAATTCTCATTCTCCCGCAAGTGTGCAATGGAGTTTTCCAGAAACCACAAGAAATTTCACATCACACTGACAGCCTGGGGAGTGTGTGCTTGCACATTCCTAGGTTTTAAAGCTGCCCTGAGGCTGAGGGTGTAGTCAGTGGTAGAGTGTTTGCCTAGCATGCCTGAACCCCTGGGTTCCAGCCCCAGAACTACAAAAATAAAGTTAAAGTCCTCTGCTTAAACTTCTAATAAGGTAAACATACATAAATATGAATCTCTTAATCGACATCTACTTGAGCTTCTCCATCAACTTGAAGTGTGTTTTAAAATACACTTTAGTCCTGAGACCAAAAATTTTGGGAACTGCTCATCTAAACCATCCTGTCATCTTGACCTAGCCACAGTGTTCACCAACTGTCACTTACCTCTCTGCACACTGGGCTGAGGATAGGATGGCATCTGACAAGCTCACTTTGCTGTGGAATGGCCCAGGCCTTGTGCGGTTATTTGGATGGTTGGCAAAGAGAACATTGTAATCCACACATCGAAGAAGGAAGGTTGTGAAGCCGACAATGAAAATGAACTGTCTGTGGAAGGTGCGGGGGTGGGACTGTGATGAGCCTGAGGGCAGGTGGGCTTCTGCCCCGCCCACCACCAGGTGGGCCACACACACACACACACAGCAGAGCCAGGGCCTGCTGGGGGCAAGCCTGGGCTGGGCTGGGAGCAACAGGCATTATGGAGGAAGCAGAAGATAATGCTTGGGGCCAGGGTCAGCTTCTCACCCCAGCTGGAAGACATCCTCCAGCAGGATGCAGGCAAAGCCACTTCGCTGGTGGTAGCTGTAGATGTGGCAGTGGTGTTAAAGACACCTGAGGCACAATGCAATGGGCTCTTCTTGAGGACCCTCCCCTCCCACAACCCTTCCCCACCCAAGAGACCCACTCCCTCCGTGCTTCCTCTGAAGACCAATACAAAGGATATCTTGGTGAAGAAGCTGTCCAGGTTCTGAATGTGGTGCCAGGAGCCTAGGCAGGAAGCACAGCGCATCAGGACTGAGCGCTGACCCCTGAGCAATCAGCTCTCCACACCCTCAACTCATGCCAGAGGCCCACAGGGCTGAGCCATGAAGTTCCTAGTCCCCCCACCTATTCCCTGCCACACACTCACCCCGGAGCCCTTCAGGCACATGAAGTAGGGGCTGCTGCTCCTCCCCTTGGAGGGGTGAGTCTTGGGACCCCTCAGGGTCACAGTCCTCCAGCCGCTCATAATCCTGCTCAGGGATCAGAAGGCCTATCCGCAGCCCAGGAGGGTCCTGGGGGCACCGGCGTGAGGGAGGGGGAGTGACAGAGGCCAGGGGTGGGGTGGAGTGGGATCCCCAGGAGGAGGAAGCAAATGCCGGTGTCGATGCAGGTCTTGCCTGTGTTGGGGGGGTAGCTGGGATGGGGAGGGCACTGTGGCCAGGCTGAGAGGCCTCTGTCCCCTGCAGCACTGGGCAGGAGGACCCCAGGGCAGGAGGCAATGGTGAGGAGAAGGAGCTTCTTGGACGAGGGGTAGGGGACAGAGAGAAGAAGGAGACCCTCCCTCCCCCAGGTCCTCGACGTGGAGGAGTAGGGGGCAGCAGGGGCACAGGGAGCAGGGGCACTGAGCCAGGCCCCAGCTCGCCCCAGTGCCCCAGCCGCCCCCTGCTCCCCCCCCAGCCCATTCGGCTCACCATCAGGCTGCGGCTTCTCTTCTCCTGAGGTTGGAGGGATGGGGCTGTGGCTCTTCCCACAGAGGTCTGTGGAAGTGAGCAGGGACTTCAACCAGGACAATGACAACAACAGTACCAGGTGACTCAGGATGGGCAGGCCTTGGGCGTCCCAGCTCTCAGTCACCTGTGTGATCACTCACACCCCTTGCAGGGCAACCTGGGGCCAATCCTCTCAGGGCCCAGCCCCCATACCTGGGAGAGGTGCCAACTTGGAAGGCAGGGGCTGGGCATGCACTGGGACAAGAAGACAGTCTCCATCTTCAGACCTTGAAGGGGCTAGAGGTAAAGAAAAGAGAGCCACCAAAACAACAAAGCAATAAAGTGGAATCTCATTAAATGATTGTAGGACTTTGAAGCCAAGATGTCAAATCTTCCTTTTTCCCCCTCAGTGCTGGGGATCAAACCCAGGCACTAACATGTGCTGCTAGGCAAGCGCTGTACCACTAAGCTATCTCCCCAGGCCAAATCTTCCATTTCTTAAAATCATATCTCCTCCCTCTCCGCCCACCTACAGTTATCAATAGGAAAATGCTTTAAGAAAAAAAAAAGAAAATGGTTTTATTTGCCTGAGGGTACTAAATAAAGGAAGAGGGGAAACAGCCTGAGTTTGCAGCCAGATGGGGGAAAAGCAAGAAGACGAAGGAAGTGAAGGAAGGGATGGAACGGCAGCTATCTTGGATTTGAAAAGTAGTGTGGGGAGCTTGGAAGTACCATTATGTTTATTCCCTATCCTCTTGAACCTAATGCCCTCTGATTCAAGTACTGATCCAGTTTCTGGGGCCTGAGCAATTTAAGGGCTAAATTGGCTTCAGAAGGCAGCTGGAAGGATAATTTGGGGACCCAGGAAAGAGCTGCCTGAGTGGGGTTCTTGTGGTAACCTCAGCAAGGAAGAGGAGGCCCAGGCAGCTTGTCTGGTGGCTTGCCCAACGCCATTCCTGAGGCCCTGAATCACCAGGTGTCCTACTGAAGCCCATGCCTAGGATGCTGACTCAGCCAGCAGATGCCAGGCCCCCAGGGTCAGGCGCAAGGCCTGAGATAGGGACCAGTAACCATGACATGGAGAGGAACACAGTGGTTCCTAGATTATTTACTGGAGGAGTGTGGAGGTAATCATGGATCTGCCCACAAAGTGAGCCCAGGAGTACCTGTTTTTCTGTGTCTCCTTCTTGGGAGGGGCATTGTTATAGGACTTGGCATAGCTTTATGGCTGAGCAGGAGGCAAAGCTATGAAAACAAGACCTAACTCCTCTATAGGTGACAAAGTGGAATCCCACATTGTAGAGGGCTAGGAAATTCTCAAAATCTTTCTGTGACACCAGTCAAGATGGGTTATGTGGGGTTTTGGTCTAGTCTGTCCCTCACCTTACTAACATCACTCACTCAGTACCACAGATATTCCATCCTACTTACATCAGGGCCCCTCCCCATACCCCCTGAACTTGTCAGCCCAAGCTCAAACTAATCCGACTGGGTTCTACTCTAAATTCACCCATTGATCTTCCTACCACCATCCTCAATTCAAGTCAGTTGCAGGGTGTGGTGGTGCATGCTTGGAATCCCAGCAACTCAGGAGGCTGAGGCAGGAGGAACACAAATTCCAGGCCAGCCTCAGCAATGTAGTGAGAACTTGTCTCAAAATTTTAAAAATAGAGAAAAAAAGAAGGGCTGGGGGTGTAATTCAGTTAAATTCCAGACCACACACAAATAAATAAAGGGGGTGGTAGAGGGCCCCTGGGTTCAATCTCCAATGGTGGGAGATATAAAGTCAATTTATTACAGAGGGCATTTTTTCCTGCCAGGTATTTGGAGGGGAAGGGAACAGAGTGAATGAGTCAGAGCCACTACCCACCAAGAAGTCACACCCCCGGTGGGAGGAGCAAATATGCAAACAAATAATTACAGCTCTGTTAAAACAGAGGTGCAGTGCTGTTCCCAGTGCGATTGGAGCCTCAGCAAGTCGCTCAGACCCGGCTGTTTGGGAGATGGGTCTGATGAACTTCAGGACCTCCATACTAGAAGTTCTCAATAATTGAGAAGGAGTGTCCCAGGGATTGCCACACGTGGGGAAACATTTGCATTTTATTTTTTTATTTTGAGATAGTCATCACAGCCGGCAGCTGGAAGAATCACTAAGTTGCCAAGGTTGTTCTCGAATTTGCGATCTTCCTGCCTCAGCCTCCTGAGTAACTGGGATTCCAGGCATGCGCCACCGCATCCGACTCTTGCCTTTCTTTTGTTTTTAACTTCCACGGTCGATTTTTGCTCATTCGCTCCCCGCCCCCAGTCCGCCCCACTCCAGAACCAGCGCTGTACACTCCCTAGAGACCCCAGGACTTCTGGACGGGAGACATCTGGAGATCGTCAGGAAAACCGTAGGAAAACCGCCCGAGGTCAGCTGAAACGTTACTCTGCACATCACCCAGGTGGGAGGACTGGCCTTGCTACCACACACCCAGCGGACCAGAGCCCAGGGCAAGAGGCAGAGCCCTTTCCCACTCGGTCCCGCCCACGGCTAGGAGGCGGGCTATTAGACGACCCTATCCAATCACAGTTCCAGAAGGAAGGGGGCGGTCATCGTTTGCTCCAATCATAGCTTTCAGTAAAATTGATGTCTCTTTCCACCAGTCAGCGCCGAGGCGCGAGGAGGCTGTCGGGATGGGGGCTGGAGCCAACATGGAGACCTCGGTGGGATAAGGGTGAAACTGTTGTTGCCGGCTGCTCCGGTCTTCCTGCCCCAGCATGTTGGTGCACTTATTTCGGGTCGGGATTCGGGGCGGCCCTGTCCCAGGCAGATCGCTACCATCCTTTCGATTCCAGAATTCCTCGGCCGTCAGGTAAAAAGGGACAAAGCTACTTGGAGCGCGAGCCATTGACAGGCCGGCGGGGCGTGGGGCGCGCCGGGACATGGAGTCCCCGGGCTCGCGCGGGGCCTGCTGGGAGTTGTAGGCGGTGCGGCCGGGGGTGGAATATCACTCCCCAGGGAGTTGGCCTCAATTATTTATAGCTTCTGTCCCGGCGCCAGCGGGAGCCTCCTCAACGCCTGCGTCTGCGCGTCGGCTGAACCCAGCCGGCTCCGGGTCAGTGGCCACGCCCCTGTCGCACTGCCCACCAGGGGGCGCCACTCCTAGCCCCCGTTCTCCCTTTCCGAATTAATCTGGCAATTTGGACAAAAATAGTTGTTAGAGTCGAGATGTTTCCAAGATTCAGAGTGAGCCGATCGAAAGTGGTTCCTGGAGCTGGAGGCGTTCGGCAGGAATCAGGGGTCTACCTGTAACTCGTTCTTGGTCAAACACTCCACAGGCGTTGGTCCAGAGAGAGGGGTGGGTGGGAAATAAGCAATGATTTGGAAACTCCATCCTGCATGTAAATGCTTTATGAGGAGGCACTGATGCCCTCCATCCTGCAGTGAATAACCTGAGAGTGGAACAGCAAAAAGATCGCCAAGGGCTGCCCGTGGAGCTTTGTCACCTGGAAAGTTCATCTGATTGATGCAGGGAGTGCAAGAGCCCCCGCTAGCTAGCGCTAGAAGTACTGGTGCTGGGAAGCAACCCACCGATTCTTGGCAACTGTGGAGCCCTTCTTAGAGTCTGGAGAAGACGAGAGAAGCTGAAAGTAGCCATGATAAATTATTAAACAGTTTGAAAACAGTCTGTGGGAAAGAGTATGGGTGTTGGTATTATCTAAACCAGAAGGAAACCCAAGGAAAGACATCAAAGAATATCCAAGTATATGTGAGTGCTTTAGTCAGTGATTCTCAATAGATCATGAAATGAATTTAGTAATCAGGACCATTTAAAAATGAATATAACAAAATACATATTTAAAAATAACGGAAAGTATTATTTTGTGAAACCTTCCATTTTTGTGTGGCAAACATATATATTTACTGTACTTGGTTGTTTTGGGGCATTGTACTGGATTGCAATGTAAAACATTGCAGTGGTCAGGCCAGACAGTCCTATATTTCTAATGAGGACATGTGTGTGCACAAAAAACATTTGCTCAACATCTATTATAATTTTTTGGATTTTTGTTTTCCTGTTTCTTCCATCAGCCAATTTGGGAGTGGCGGGGGAAGGGAGCATCTAGCCCTTTCCCTCCATGCATTGTCACACATGGCACTCTAGGCCTAGGAGGGGAGATAGGGTGATGGAGTACAATAAGCCAGAAGACTTGGGTCCCTTCCTGGTCCTGCTATGCACAGCTTGAGCATGGCACACTTGGCAGAGTAGAATGAGCCTGGATTCTGGAACCAGAACCAGAGTTCCTCTCTTGTCCTAGTGCTGCTGCCTGGGGACATCTCTGCCTCTGCCTTGTGGCGCTGCATTAGACAGACGAGGCCCCTCCTGCCTACTCCATGCCCAGTATTGTGGAGTCCCAATTTTAATTCTCAACTCACATGGATTTTTTTCATCATCAATGAGAGTAAGGGCATCTCCCAGGGAGGCAAGTGGCAAAGGCAGTGGACCCTTGTCAGTGCTGCAGGGGTCATATCTGCCATCCCCACTATGAGCAACACAGTGTCCCCTGCAGAGCAGGAGCTCACCTTGCTGGTAACCTCGGATCCTTACTCATGGAGGATTTCTGGACCTCACCTGCGCCCCCATGTGCTGGTCCTGGGTGCAGCCATCATGGTGAGGCTGTCCCTGCTGTTTCATACTGGGGAGAAAAAGGACCCAGGAAGGGGTTTGCAGAAGCCCTAAGCCAGAAGAGGACTGGAAAAGGAGTGCTGTAAACTAGCTGCCATTATTATGTGCCCTCCAGCCCTGACATGCTGTGATTGGGAAAGGACAGTCCTGGAGACCAGCACAGACCTGGGTTGGTGCCCTTGAAGGCTGAAGGGGCCTTACTGAAGGTGTTGACTGGGAGACCATGCAGGGGAAGAACACTTTTAAGTTCTGACTTATGCTCAGCCATCACATTCCTTAGCAGTGTCACTGTGTACACTTGTCTCAGGAGCTGAGAACCTAGCATAGTGGTGCACACCTGTGGCTCCTGCTACTTGGGAGCTGAGGCAGCAGGATTGCTTGAGTCCTGGAGTTCCTGGCCATTCAGGACAACATTGTGAGACCTTGTCTGAAAAATAAATCTTTAAAAACAGCCCAGAAGAAGGCAGTGTCAGGAGCTAAAACGAAAAGGAAATTCTTCTTCTAGGAAGCTCAGCCAGAGATCAGGGATTTGTTGGTCAGGTGAAAGATGGATGACTAGGTCCTCAGCCACCAATGACCTTCTGTCCCTGCAGGTCCCCAGATGGCCGCCTCGGTACCTCCCTCCTCAGGGCCGTGTCCCAGCTGCGGTCACAGCTCCGGGCCCACCTCCCTCAAGCCCTACCAACTCTCAGCCGGAGCCCCTCTGCCTGGTGCTGGGGTGGGGGAGCCTTGCTGGGCTCTGCAGTGCTCTACAAGCACTCCCGCCTCTGCCTTGTGGCACTATGTGAGGCAGAAGAGGCCCTGCCCGCCTGCCCCTCACCCCGTGTTGTGGAGTCCCACTTTAACTGGAAGCTCTTCTGGCAGTTTCTGCGCCCCCATGTGCTGGTCCTGGGTGCAGCCATCGTGGTGAGGCTTTCCCTGCTGTTTCATACTGGGGAGAAAAAGGACCCAGGAAGGGGTTTGCAGAAGCCCTAAGCCAGAGCAGGGACAGCATTCTTTCATCAGAAGCAGCAAATGTTGCCTTGGGGCCCCAGGGTCTGAGGACATCCAGAAGACCTTGGTAGCTGGTTTGTAGGATAGAGGGATGCAGTGGGGCTGGAAGCCTGGGCTTTAACTCTCAAAGAGGCACTGCTGTGGGAGAGGAAGGGCAGGGTCAGGGCTGGTGAGGGAGAGTGGCCCTCTCTCTAAGTGTCTGTCTACTCTGCCTTGCCCCCCTCTAGCTGGCATTGGGTGCAGCGCTGGTGAATGTGCAGATCCCCCTGCTCCTGGGCCAGCTGGTAGAGATCGTGGCCAAGTACACAAGGGATCATGTGGGGAGCTTCGTGTCTGAGTCCCGGAAGATAAGCACACAGCTGCTTGCCCTCTACGGCATCCAGGTACTGCAGGGGGCAGGGCCCAGGGCACAGTGAAGCCTTTCTGGGTCCTCCCTAACTGCACTGGCCTCTCTCACAGGGACTGCTGACCTTCGGGTACCTGGTATTGCTGTCCTATATTGGCGAGCGAATGGCTGTGGACATGCGGAAGGCCCTTTTCAGCTCACTGCTTCGGTACTTTAGACACAGGGTATGGGCTAGGGTGACTGATATCCCAGGGGAGGATCTGGGGTGAGTCGCATCCTGGACCAGCGTCTCTCTCCTTCCCCCCGCCTGCTGCCCCTATGTCCCACCACCAGACAAGACATTGCTTTCTTTGATGCCAAAAAGACTGGGCAGCTGGTGAGCCGACTGACAACTGATGTGCAGGAGTTTAAATCTTCCTTCAAGCTCGTCATCTCCCAGGTCAGTGCTCACCCCATGGTCTGGCCCAGCCCTGACTTCTGACTGATGTTGGGTCCACAGCCAGTGCTCACTACTGTCCAGGAGGGTGTGGGTGAGAGAACACAGAAGTCTATGGCTGGGAGGTGCCGAGGCAGCGCACAGTCGGCATAGGCTGAAATCCTCCCGGTGGGTGGGTGGCGCATGCCTGTAATCCCAGTGACACTGGAGACCGAGGTAGGAGTTCAAGGCCAGCCTCAAGAGTTCAGTGATACCCTAAGCAACTTATTTTGAGACCTTTTCTCTAAATTTTAAAAAGTGTAAGTAGGGCTAGGGATGTGGCTCTGTAGTAAAGCCCCTCTGGGTTCAGTTTCCAGTACTAAAAAAAAATCCTCCCTCCCCTAGAAAGACTTCCTGAGGACTTGGACCAGACCCTTTCCCCGTAGGAGCAGACTCACATGGCCTGCCCATCCCCAGGGTGCCAGTCTTTGGCCAGTATTGAGCTCTTGCAGTTGCTGTTTACTACACACTGACATCTTCCCATTATCCACACTTCCGTCACTCCGGCCTCTGGGTTATGACACTGGCCCATGACTGTCAGAGGGACATATCCCCTTGTGATTCTCATAGTTTGATTTCTGGAACAGGAAGAGAAGCAAACATCTTTCTGGGGGAAAATGCCATAGTCCATGCCGCTCTGACCCAGCCCTTCCTGCCTGCTGGTTGACCCCAGCTCATCCAGAGGGGTTATGTTTGGTGACTGAGGAGTGCCACGTGGCCTCTGGGGGCCTGGGC